CTGCGGCATCTGCGCAGGAATGCATAGCACGAGGAGCAGCCCCACCAAGGAAGCTGCCTCTCGGGTGGGGAGAGAGCAGGACCCCCCACCTGTGTGGCAGTGTGCCAGATGCAGGAAGGAGGGTGTGACGGTCTAGCACCCAAGTTGCCCTGGGAGGCCGCCCCCACCCACAATAGTGGTCCCACTCAGTGATGCCAACAGCAACACTGCGGGGTCGCCTCCAGTTCCTGAAATCAACAGCAACACCTCCCCACCCAGGGGGCAGTGTCCCAGGTCCAGGGAGGAGGGTGTGACGGTCTGGCACCCCAGTTGTTCTGGGAGGCCGCCCCCATCCACAATAGCGGTCCCACTCAGTGATGCCAACGCGGCCGGATCGCCTCCACCACCTGAAGTCAACAGGCACTGTGACTCTCCTTCGTTAGCCAATGCAGGTCAGGTTAAAGCCTGCCAAGTAAGTGTGCCAGTGAACAATGGCAGTGATAGTGTTAGTGGAGCTTCTGAAGGAGCTGGTGCCTCCTCTCATAATGATGCGAACTTGAGGGCGAGTAGCCAGAGCGAGACCAATAGTGATGGAAGCATGAATGGGGAGAATACAGGGTAAGCCCCAGACTGCCAGCGTGGTGTCTTTAATAACCCCCAGGTCTGAAAACTGTCCATAACCCTGTACTTTTTCCAATATTTATGGAGGAGAAACTCGCGGGACTGATGAAAGAACCTTTGTATAAAAATCCTACTGGAATAAGGGCTGTGAGGGGCATTATCAAGAACTCCAGGGGTGAAGAATTTGAAATGGTCAACTTATTGGTCAGGTTGATCTATGACGCCAACGCACAACTCTATACTATTTTCAAGGTGGAAGGAGTAACACGAACGCTTAGGTTCATTTCATGGAACATCCGGAGTGTTAACCGCAGAATTAATGACCTACAATGGTTTGTTAAAGTTTTTAACATGGATGTAATTGGTTTACAAGAACCTTACACATCCAGCACCCAGAAGAAAGTTGCACCCAGGATAGCTGAGTTTACAGCATATAATAGTGGAGCAGGAAGTGGCCTGCTCACTTATGTAAAGAATGGTCTGGCCTGTAAATGGATCAAAACTCACAATGATAAAAGTATTCACTATCAACAATTTACAGTAAAGACAGCAAACAGTCAATTTCGCTTTATAACAGCTATGTTCGGTGTAATGAGCTGCGAGCGGACGTGTTACCAAAGCCATCAGGTAACAATGCTATGCTGTGTATGGGTGACTTTAACTCTCGTCAGACTGTCCTCGGTGATGTCCAGTGTAACTATAATGGGAGGGTGTTCATAAATTACATCAATAATCATAATATCACTGTATACGACACAGACAAAGTGACACATCTGATGGGGGGCAGACTTGATTATGTGATTAGGTATAACCTAGTAGACAGTAATGTCAAGGCTAAGGTCATCTCAGACCACCTAGTCAGTGATCATTATGCAATACTTACTGAATACACTGTTGCTGATGTCAAGTGTGAACCCCATCCTCGGCTCAGAATTAACATCCCAGATAATCTAAAACTGCACTTCAAGGCCTACATCCACAGATGGTATGCTGGATATGTCATTACCACATATACCACCAGGGTTAAGTCAAGGAGGAAGGGGGGCAGCACTAAACCACCTCAGTGGACACATGACCCCATCCTCACCAAAGAAGGAGAGAAGGTAGAACAGCTTGCCAACACTTATAAGCAAAATAAAACTAGTGATATCCTCTTGGCATTCCTTAAACCTAACAGAGAATTTCGTAAACTCAAAGGTCAGGTGACAAACACCTATTGGGAACAATTCTTGCAGGGGATTAATAGAACAACCACTAGCAGAAGTGTGGAACAAAATTAGAGCCATTACCAAGTCACCCACCCCAGTCCAACTTCATCACAGCCCTGCAGAATGTGCTGACATGCTATTAGACCAATGGTCTAGTGTGTCACAAATCACTTCCCGGCCTCCTGACATACAGCAATATCTTAAAACCACACACATTAATAGGGGTTTCAATATTGAAATAGCCTGTTCCTCACCAGACCTTACCGACCAGTTTCTTATAACGCACCACGAACTAACAACAGCACTAATAAAAGGTGAATCATCCTCCCCTGGTGAAGATGGCATAACCTATAACACCCTGAGATTGTTGAATGAGATCCCTATAACCATCCACTGCTTGAACTGTATCAAATGAGCCTCACACAGGGTATTCTGCCTAAGACATGGACTCATGAAAACATAGAACCGATCCCTAAAGCTAACTCTCCAAACTTCAGGCCAATTTCACTCACATCCTGTATGTGTAAAGTCCTTGAAAGAGTTGTTCTCAACCATCTCATGTTTCAAGTCAAAGACAAACTGGCCCCTAATCTGTATGGGTTCATGCCCGGGCATAGCACACAGACATGCTTTGCAAAATATCTTGTTCACTCAAAAGATAAGACACAAACAGCCTTCATAGATCTTAAATCAGCCTTTGATGTAGCTAATAGAGACATAATACTTGAGCAACTAGCTAATTTTGGCATCCAAGGTAACCTCCTGTCATGGATAAAGGGTTATCTGTCCAACAGGTATGCCAGTGCTTTGCTTAGGTGAATTAAAAGTGCCAGAATGAGATCATTTGAGCTTGGCATGCCTCAGGGAGGAGTGTTAAGTCCTATGCTCTTTAATATACTGATGCACAAGCTTATTGCTGACATTCCAGTTCAGCCAAACGAGGCTGTAATGTGTTATGCTGATGATATCTGCATTATGACACAGACTAAGCTCAGGCTCCAAGCCTTGCTAGATGTATTTGCTCAGAGGACTGTGGAATGTGGTCTCATAATATCTGTTGACAAGACGAGGAACCTCAATCCTCGTCCTGCTCACCCTCTGCCTCTTGGCTTTAACATTAACAGCATGCCCTTGGAACTATGTAGCTCCTATAAATATCTTGGAATTTGTGTGAATGATGCAAACTTTGTCGGAAACCTTCGTGACAAACTAATGCAGCGCATTAAACCCCTCAGAACCCTTGTTGGCAAGGGCTATGGAATTAACATCACCTATGCTCGTACTTTCTATCGTCACTTCATTCGTTCTGCAGTTGGCTATCATGCTCTCCATCTTGTGACTATTCTGCCTAAGCAACTCAACAGCCTTGAGGTAGTGCAAAATGAAGCCATGAGCATCATTCTAGGATCCCCAAAATCAACCAGAATTGTAAACATGAGGAAAGAGCTCGGGCTGCCCTCCCAATCTGAGAGGATAGCTCTACTTAATACCAGGTTTTGAGTCAAAGTTTTGAAGAACAATGGTCCCCAAACTACAGCACAAACTGAGTTGATGATCTATCTAAGTAATCCCAACTATCTCGCAAACCTTCCACAAAAGACTTTCTTTGGGGCGTGGCTTCATAAAAGTGTTGCAGATCTCTTGAAACTGAATGTCCCAATCACCCCAGACAGACCCATTAATGCCATTCCTCCTTGGCTGGATATATCAGTTCCTATTAATTACACTCCTGTTGGTAGTAAGCAAATGTTAAACACCAATGTGATGAGATGTGTCACACTAAAAACTATTAACAGACACATAGAGAGTATTAGATCAAGTGAATGTTATGCTTTTACTGATGGTTCTGTGCAGACAAACACAGGTAGAACAGGCTGTGCAATTGTAATATATAAAGAAAAAGAGATGATAGTGTCAAACAAACAAAGGCTGAACAACTGGGCCAGCACAACACAAACTGAACTAACTGGAATCTACTTAGCTACAGACTACCTTAAAGAAAATGGAGGTGGGGTGATATTCTGTGACTCAAAGTGCTTTGAAATCAATGAACAGCCCGTCAGGCTCTATGTCTAAAGTTGTATGTGATATTAAAAGGAATATGATAACTGCCAATGAGCACAACTTTCGTATCGAATTTGTGTGGATTCCGTCCCATGTTGGAATCAGGTATCATGACCGTGCTGATAGACTGGCCAATGAGGCATGTAAGAAATACAATGTTGACCGTGACCTTGGCCTGTCCAATGCTGTACCTAAAAACATTCAAGTCAGAATCATGAACTCTGATCTAGAAGAAGTGAGAAATGCAGAGAGACCTGGCAGTTGTAGCATTAGTAAATATGACAAAATTTGTGACAAGAGGTACCGGTATGGCCAGCATAAGGACAGAACCAGACAATGTGATGTAGTCGTGGCCAGAATTAGGCTAGGATACAGACACATCTGGAAGGTTAGTAACGCTGTACCCATAACGGAACACTCAGCATGTAAACTTTGTGATAAACCCTTACAGCATACACTTGAACACTATATTATTGAATGTGACACTGTCAAAGACTTCAGGCCACCTGACTTATTGTATCTTGAACTTAGTAATTGCTACATTGAATCGGGGGTGCTTGAGGACATTCTTGCTGTTTATCCCAAATGTGCTAGTCCACACTGATTAGTCTTCAATTAGAATATGACGGCCAATGTATGTGAACCACTGACGTATATATACTGCTAATGAATATGATGCATTTCTTTGTGTACGAACCTCTGTCCTGCATGGCAGTGAACAGTGACATTACCCACATGAATCTGACCTCTATATATATAGCTGTTAATGAATATGTTGTATTTCTTTATGTATGAACGGTTCATAATGAACCTCTGTCCTGCGTGGCAGTGAGAAGTGATACCACACTCAGTGTCAAGACCTGACTGAATCACTCAGAATAGGCAAACTGTACTACAAGCTTTGTCAATAAATTTGTTAAACTAAAACCTAAAGCGCATACATCATAATCAGTAACATACAGATTCTTTTAAGATAAAACAAAGTTTATATTAGATTGTTTCAAAAGCAATTTCCTTACACTGTTTCTGAATTCACCTCCCATGTTCTGTTCATGGCCCATTACATTGAGTTTTTAAAATTATTTCAGGCTAAACAAATGTATAATTCACTTCAGTCTGCTCACTCACCTAAATGTCCATAACCGACTATCCCGATCCTCTTGTGTGCCATTTTCAGAAGTGCGGAACAAAAACTGAGCACTTACTGCAGAAGTCTCCCCAGAACTAACTGTACGTCATTGACTAACTAGTATCATCTCCCAGCAACGCTTCGCTGTACAATGTTACTTTTTTTTTTACTTCTATCGGTAACAATGGTGAAATAGTTTCATCCAGCTTCCTGTTGTGTAAACTTTTCGTAACTTACAGTTACTGCACTTAAGACACAAGCGTTATTATTGCCAACAAGTACAATGCGGAAGATATTTTATCAGGGTCTCGTTGAGTGTAGTGACGGCAGCGTGCTTGAGAAGACTAGCGTAGGTGGTGTACAGCAGGGGAGGGGTTGCGGGTGGGTAGGTGGGAGCTGCTGGTGGGTAGCCGGTGGGGTACTTGGGGACTCTTGGATGGGAGGGACGTGGGTAGATAACCATGCAGGGGCCCCGGCCTCCCCGGGGTAGTGACTAGTCTGTGGGGCAAGGTCGACGAGGAGGGGCGGGGTGGAGCGGCGCACGCAGGCTGTTTAATGTACACACCGTGAGTAGGAATGTATTACCCAGACCAACGGAGATTATATCATATGTGTTTGAATCTTTTGTTATTCTTCCGGTTTGAATCGTCTTTCATTCACAAATTCACACACTGAAAACATTACGGACACATAAGCACACCAACACCTGCTATAGCGCTCCAAACTGGTTTATATGGCCCGCGGGGGTGTCTGAAGGCCCAGGCGCCACTTGGCATTAACAGAGCCGGTTTATTGGTTTATTTGTACAAAAGTGTACTGACACATATCAAACTTTCTTTTGGGGTGAAAGGAAGAACGCGAGAGAAAATAGAAAGTAACAACCAGCATCAGAACTCAAGAAGTAAGATAAGAAGGTTGGCTGTAGTAATGAAATACTGGAAAATTATAGAATCAGAAAAACGATAGTATTGAAACAGTTTGTTTAGCCAGAAAAATACAGATAGAGAGTGGACATTAACAGCAACACTGACATGACTGAGCCAAGTAAGAGCCTGAGTCCTCGTGTGGCACCTGATACAAACTGTACATTTATCTCAAGGAAGTATTATATATAACATTTGATATCATCTGGATTACTATATTTAACAGTTTGTTGGCAAATACATATACAATGCTTCCACGTTTATCACCTATTTTTTTACATTTATATTATAAATATATACAAATACAGCAGAGTACAGTTGATATACACTACAGTAACCTGATAAGTGGGTGGAAACAATACAATATGGGTTATGTTAGGTTCAATCAAAGGGACAGATAGTCAGGATCATGTGACGGCAGAATATATAATCATTGTAATGGTAATAACGTGATAATATACAATATAATGGCTTCTCCGGAAATGGAAATAATTATTCTCAATAAAGTGATTAAATAACTGATTTATAAGCAAAGATAGCTCAGCAGTAAGTGTAAATATTCTCAAATTTTAACATTTTAAATTTAGCAAACTGCTCGTTTGTGTGATCAGTTTTTTTTAAGTTGATCAGTGTCCGCACACTTTCTTCTGGACAGTAACCACGGGTGGGGTTTTGTTTTAGTGGTGACGGAGCCCCCCCCACCCCCCCCCCCCATATTGTATGACAGTGAATCAAGTAATAGTAAACAATATCATAGTAGATTTCTTTCATTGCTGCAAGAGTGAGTGACTGACAAGTATGATGCAGGATACAGCACTGTTTATTGATATCCCTCCTCCTAGTCACAGGCCTGGCATTTGACATTATTAGGGACCTGCCACACTTTGCCATAAACAGATAAAATGTACCGGGAACTTTCCCCCCACACACTCATCATTCTCTCACTTTATGTAACTTGACAGAACCTATGACCCTTCAGGCTTTTACGCCCTTAATGTACGAGTCATAAAGGCAAGTATGAACTTTTCATACTTCCCTGTTGGGCGCTGTAAACGCTTCTGCCCTTCACCTTGCACAGGATGTAAGGGGGTGCCCAATAAACTAGCCCCCTCGGGGGCAAATCTGAATCTGACTGTTTATTGATTTTACCGTGAATGGCTTATAGGTGGTTTCTCCAGTTAAGTTTATCATCAACAAAAATCCCAAGGAATTTATTATTGTGTTTACGTTTGAGGACTATTATTAAGGTACAGGGGGACCAAGTTCGGGTAAGTTTTATCTTCTGTGGAAGACTGTGGAAGGGTATTTTTCGAGGTTTGCGGTCATTTTATTCAATATTATCTAGTTCCAGACTTTGTCAGTTCACTATTCATAGTTCTCATCAAGGAATGTAGATCTGAATCGCTGGCATAAAGATTACTATCGTCTGCAAATAAATGGTATTTTTCGATCTGAAGAGGACCATATCAAGGTTCCATATATATTTCATTAGCCCATAAAGCGCGCTGACTTCTACATATAATCAACAACCTCACCCCGCCAGGACTCGAACCCACGATCTTATGTGTGTGTGACCGGGTAGTCCCCAATTGGGGGTTCACGGCACCATAAGCTCGATGAACAGGCTTTGTGTGAAATATAACAAAGTCTAGGACTGCTTTTAGTGTCCTGGTGGTCTAGAGGTAACGTTCCCCGGTCACACACATATGAGATCGTGGGTTCGGGTCCTGGCGGGGTGAGGTTGTTGATGATATGTAGAAGTCCGCGCGCTTTATGGGCTAATGAAATATATATGGAAACTTGTGTTTTGAAGCCGGATTTGGTAAAACGTTACTCTGATCACCTAAGAGGCACTGGTAGGCCTCAATTGGGGGTTCACGGCGCCATAAGCTCGATGAACAGGCTTTGTGTGAAATATAACAAAGTCTAGGACTGCTATTAGTGTCCTGGTGGTCTACAGGTATCGTTCCCCGGTCACACACATAAGATCGTGGGTTAAAGTCCTGGTGGGGTGAGGTTGTTGATTATATATAGAAATCTGTGTGCTTTATGGGCTAATGATATATATATATATATATATATATATATATATATATATATATATATATATATATATATATATATATATTATATATATAACACCTCACCCCACCAGGATTCGAACCCACGATCTTATAATTGTGACCGGGGAACGATACCTCTGGGCCACCAGGACACTAAAAGCAGTCCAGGACACTAAAAGCAATCCCAGACTCTGTTATATTTCACACAAAGTCTGTTCAACGAGCTGGTGGGGTGAGCTGTTGATTATATGTAGAAATCCGTGTGGGACCAGAGAACGTTACCGACCATGCCACAAGGACACTAAAAGCAGTTCTAGACTATGTTATATTTCACACAAAGCCTGTTCATCGAGCTTATGGCGCCGTGAACCCCCAATTGAGGCCTACCAGTGCCTCTTAGGTGATCAGAGTAACGTTTTACCAAATCCGGCTTCAAAACACAAGGTTCCATATATATTTCATTAGCCCATAAAGCGCGCGGACTTCTACATATCATCAACAACCTCACCCCGCCAGGACCCGAACCCACGATCTTATATGTGTGTGACCGGGGAACGTTACCTCTAGACCACCAGGACACTAAAAGCAGTCCTAGACTTTGTTATATTTCACACAAAGCCTGTTCATCGAGCTGATGGCACCGTGAACCTCCCACTGGGAACTGCCCGTGCCGCTTATGTGGATGTCAGTAGCATTTTACCGAATCCAGCTGGAATGAAACACGAGGTATCATATATACTTCATTTTTAGTCCATATAACACGCGGACTTTGGCATGGTCGGTAACGTTCCCTGGTCCCACACAGTAGGTTGAGGGTTCGAGTCCTGGCTGGTGAAGTTGTTGATTATATGTTCAAAGTCCGCGTGTTATATGGACTAAAAATGAAATATATATATATATATATATATATATATATATATATATATATATATATATATATATATATATATATATATATGTATATATATATATATATATATATATATATATATATATATTTATTTATTTATTTCATGTAAATCCACAATGAAAACGTGGATAAGATAAATCTTGATAAAATCACACGGGAAAATGGAAACAATAATATTCTAGAACGCATTGCATAATTTTTATGGCATACTTATTATTGTAAGCCTAGATCAGAGTAGAACATTCTAGAATCTCCCAGGCGTCTCTGGGTGGTGCTAGAATGTTCGAAGGGCTTCGGATGAGGTATATAAGCAGTAAGCACCCGCGAGCTGTCACTAGCTTTTATTTACTGTATGTATATGTATGAGCAGGCGAGGAGTCAGTCCCCCACTTCCACTTGGAGTACCCACCAATACCACTCAGCACGATCAGCAGTCTTAGATTTATTCAGCAGAACCAGCCAACTTAAACTTCAATCAGTACAAAACAAAGCTATCCGTAGAGCATCAAAGCAACTGAAGATGTCTTGAATAAAATCACACGGGGAAAGGGAAACAACGGAGCACCTTAGCTTTCATCTTTATTCAAGACATCTTCAGAGGCAACTGGTTTACATGGACAGAGAGAGGCTTAAATATACAGGGTGACCTTATTAAACATGAGGTCAGGTCATAATGATGTCATCCATTAATCCCAACACCAACACACACGTAGAGGAGCTGAAGAGAAAGTGGGAGATTTTCTGTTAAACTTCAGGAAGAGTTTGTGTTAACATGGGAGATGCAACACATCAGCTTACATAAACTTAACTTTATTGTTGTCTAACGTAACAAGGTGGAGTAGAGCTATAACAATTAGAACAGTGTGTTAGGCTACAACTGATGTGCTTCTCTATGTGTATAAAACGTTAAACAAGGTTCGAGTCTCGAGGCAGGCCACGTCTGACACATGACACTGACGTATGGCATTTGACATGTGACACCTGGCGTCCTGGCAAGCTTCTGTCAGACACAAGGGCACACCAGACCTGACAATTTAGTGTTACTGCTGAGTTACGTGGAGGAAATCTTTGTCGTTTAGTCTGGATGTGGAGGAATCAACTGGAGAAAGAAAGGATGATTTTTGTTTTGTTTTTGTTTTTTACGGGGATTAGCCCACCCAGGCACAGGACACTGACCCACATCGGGGCCTGGGGGGCGAAAATGTCTGTAACGTTGACATAATGATGCAATGGTAACCAAAGTATATATTTCTGACCCAAAGTTTCGTGTTCAGTGAAGGATAAACTCATAAACAGTTTTTACTATTGCAATAACACACGAACCAAGACTAAACCTGGTGCCGAGGGCACGTAACACCCATGGCAAGACTAAAAACACAATTTTCTCATTTGTCAAGTACGAAAACAAAATCAAATGATTATTTCGTTTATCAACTTGAATATTGTTCCAGTTGCCATGACGCCACAACACTGACCTCACCTGACACTGTGACAACTGACAATATGATGGGTGCAACT